GGTCGATATACATTTAAGAGACGACGTGGATGCATATATCGGTCGAGTTTGTTTTCAAATCCACCAGAAGGTAAAGATTATAAATGTTTTGATGTGATTGCATATCGACGAATTGGAATTTTAATTTCAGTGAATCGATTGTGATTTCCACTCGCAATTACTATTTTCATGTATTACCTTTCAGAAAAGTTTTTCAGTTCCAAAAGTTAGTCCTGCAGAACGTTTCTACCGCACGTTTATGCCATCAGCAAATGGTGTCCGTTGTATTGGTTACGCAAGACGAAGGATGGGACGAGGTGGAAGGTTTGTGTATTGCTCGGTATTGTACGAATTGCAAATTGTCCTTTTTGAAATTCACATTTGATAATGGAATTGTTCTGTTTTAGCGGCATCTAGAGACATTTTCTGACAAATGTAGATCTTAAAATGATGTGATCAAATCATTAGAAGTTTTCTAGGATTATATTCGATCGGGTTCTGCTTTCTGCACCATCAACGTCACACTCTGCTCCAGATCCACCGTTCTCTTCAGTTATTGATACTACAAAGTTAGTTTTTTTTAGTGCGTGTGATATTACTTTTCTCCAAATATTGACATGAAGATGTTTAACCATGAATCCACTTTAAATTTTATGAGCTTCTAGAAATGTGCAAAAAGGAATGTGTTTGTTGATTGTATTTGGTATGTAGATGATTGCACACAAGTATTCTATATTATTTAGGAGTTATCAGTGCAAGTTGCTGGCTGTCGACAGCAGTAAGGATGATAATGATTCATCGAATTCTGATGAGAATCGCAGGAATTGGAACGATGAAGATGAACGAGAGTACAGGAGACAAGAAGAGCTTTATGCGAAGCGGATTTTTGATATGTCTGATACTGGTTCCACGCAAAAACTTCAAAGCGGTGTAAGTACTTGCAATTTGGAAATGATCACTCGAAAACTTATGAAAATTACGTTGAAAGAAATTGACTTTATAATGGAACTTTCAGTTACTTTGCGTTAATTTAGATATTGGTTGAATTCATGTTGAATTTATAAACGGCGCGTTCCAGTAACAAATCATTTTGTAGATGAGTGGAGATGGGACATCATCGCGGGGTACCGGTGAACAGGTAGTGGTGCTTGGTGAAGATAACAATGGGTCAGCTTCGGGTATTGGGCAAAATATCATGTCAGTAAATGGTGTTCGCGAAACAGATCGCTTACGAGTTGTCAAGTAAGTGCTGCTGGCTTTTTTTCCTTTCATTGTTGAATACTCATATCTTTTTCCATTAACCGAAAATAAGCATTGTATCCTTAAAGTTTGCAACAAAACGGACCACCGATGAATGTCAATGCAAGATCGGTTGGTGATTGCGGCCTGCAGCCCGTTTTGTTGACTGCATCTGTTGCTGGGAAAGTAGAGAAAGTGGCACCATTACCGAATGCACCGTCTGTAAATTATCAGGTAAGCAGATTTTGAAATTCATCTTTCCCACATCTCCTGTTATTTGAGAAGATGAACTCATAATTCAACAAAGGCAGAGTTACCGGATGCGGCGTACATGATAGTTTGAAATTCAGAATACTCTATATTACAGATGGCATAGAAGTAAAATTTTATTGCAATTACCGTTGGTATATTTTAGTAAGTTGTGACTTTATTATAGAGTTATAGAAGTGTAGAAATTTCTTGTAATTTATGGTTTTATTATTGTAGACAACGAAAACATCCTTTTGTGTTATTCATTTATATTTTTTCTAAAATTTATTTATTTCAAGAAACCCTACGAACACCTGGGTAGGATTCGGTAAACCTTGATTTAAAAAAAAAGTTGCAGCAAAAACGGGTACATGATCATTCCTTACGCATTCCATCACAAATGTCGTTGTCATCCGAAACCAGCGAATCATCCCCGGTTTTTTACACGCATCTCCCGCCACCGCCGCCTCCAGCAACGAGGTTGCTGGCGGCGGGAGAGCAGACGATCCATCGTCCTCGAACATTTGAATTTGTCAACAGTTCTGGTATTTTGAATCAGGCTCAAACATTGATCGTCACAACGACTCAATCACCAAGGCAGGATCACTTGGAACGACAAATTTTAGCTATACCGTCCCAAGAAGTCATCATTGGTGGGCAAAATATTAGACCACGAGTAGGTTTCCGATTAATTTAACGATTTCTTTATTTGTTTAAATATTTTATCCATTGGTTTTTCGGAATTTTGATTGCAGTTTCCTTCACTGGAGATGTAGCTATGTTTTATTTACATTGCAGGCGGGTGGGAGACGACGGTCGTTTGCTTCTTCAGGCGTTGCACAGTTGTCTATTCCTCGGCCAGAAATGAATCTGCAGCGCTTAAATACCAGTGGTCTTCATACAGATATCGTAGCGCAAGCTACGCACTGCGTTGATACTAAACGACTTGAACTTGCCATAAAAGGTTCTGGAGCCCGCATTAAGGTTAGTTAATACTGGCCACTTTATTAATGGATTAAAAAGTTTTGTACTTGGCACTGATAAATTATGTAAGCAAATTAATGATCATTAGCATTTTGCAAAGACCAGATTTTATCTAAAAGGAAGCTAGAATTCACATTTTATTATCTGTTCCGAAGACCAGGTAAAGTCTGTTGCATTGGTGTCAAGCAATCTAAAGTATGAAAAGTTCTGGATTAAGGATGAAATTAGCGATAGAATACTATATACTGCGCTGCGATGCCAAACTTATCTGTTTTGTCGTAGCAAATCCAGGGAATTCTCCTTAGTTTACTAAAGGCCAACTTTGAGGGAGAATTTTAGAATTTCTAAGTTTGCGAAGTCTTAATATCGAGTCGGCGTAATTTTTATAGTTTGATTATTCATTCGATGTAGAATTTTGTGTCATTATTTAACAGCATTTTATAGCCTTCCCCGATGATTGCGCATTCCCTTTTACAATCCTGTCCACCAGAAACAAAGACGCTTCGAGATCTTTTGTTGGGAACTGGATTATCAAGTACGAAAACAGCGTTAAACAATACGGCTGTTGTGCCGGCAGTTACCAGAACATTCACTGCTCCGCAATATGTACCTGTTATTGGCGATGCTCATCGTTACTTACCATTCACCAATACAACCACTTGTAAGTTTCTTTTTAATAAATTTTGAAAGAGAGTTCGATGAAACTTTCTCAACTGGAAGATAGCAATAGAACGGCGCATGTAGTTTGATTATTTTATGTGTGATGTTTGGTTATTTCGGGTATAACAGTGTAAGCAAACTGTTTTACACATGAGATTGTCTAGGGGTTTTATAGCGAAGAAATCGGATTTCTTCTATTCTGTGCATGCGTTTTAAATCGACCCAGAAATTTAGTGTGAATCTTCTGGCCTATTTAAACTTCTTTAAGTGAAAAAATGAGGGAAGCAATAATCCATAGTTGCATTAAAATCTTTTCCTTTTGCAGCTTATTATGTGCCGGTAACAGATGTTTCATCTACGGGCAGCGAAACTATGTCACCTCCGCATGCCATATCTTCTGCAGTACAGAATCAGTCAGCGCGGAATTATTTCGGTGTCACTGAGCCGAAAATCCAAACACCTATTGCAGTAGTGAGCAATCGACCGTCTCTGAATGGAACTCAGGTTGATACAAGACGTTGGTTATTTAAAATCTTTATGTCGTCGGTCAAATTTTTGTTTTTAATCTTATTCATAATCAACGGTTATGCAACCATAAGTGTTTATTGACTGTTGGAATATCTTTGAATAAGCCCATAGATGATGGTCTGTACTGTTGAAAGCTGCTAAATGTTTTCATCCATGTTTCCAATGCTCGTGTTTTGTGTGATTTGATTCGTCTTCATCCAGGTGTATGTTGGTTTATGAAATATAACACCTCAGTAATAGACGACATATTAAATGCATGTTAACTTGAAAGCGAGCAATGTAATTCTTCGTACTCGTTTTCAGTAATTCCGCAACATATATTTTTTTGGCTTAGAAGCCCTTGCATTTTGAATCTTATTCATAGTACATATAAGGGGAAAGCATTATTTTCTTTCGTTAATTTAATCTGTTTATAAGAACAGTTCGTAATGTTTCTGGATCTTCAGGTAGCGGCGGTGCAATAAGCAAAACAAATGGTGGCAATCGTGAGTGCGAAACCTTCATCGGCTCTCCGCAAGTGGGAATTGAATTACAACAGCACCAGGCAAAATGCCGTGTTGGTAGTGGTTCATCACCTCTAAATGCGATGTTATCTACCGAAAAACCCGCCGAGGAAAATGCTATTAATCGAAGCGGAGGGAATTCAGCATCTGCCGTTGCAACGACACCAACAGCTGTTACGGAAAAATACCCAGAACAAACTGGAGCTGCAGAAAATAATTTGAGCAACAAAGTTACGAATAATCATCGTGATATTGCTGCATGTCATGGGATGGTCAATTATGTTATTAACTGATTTTCATGCTTTCGTGTTAATGAGTATTAAATTCATTGACTATCTGCATTTACCTCTTTTTCCTCAAGTTTGGATGGAGTATTAGGTTGCAGGTGGGTAGCTGGTCAATTTTTAAAAGCTTAATTTTTGGGATTATAAGTTGTTGTGCTGCAAATATTGTTCAACGGTTGATTTTCAACTTTAGATAAAATGGTAGATCAGCTTTTAATGGAAATTTTCCTCAATTTCTCACGTAGTACTTATGAATTCAGCGACAGTATTTTCCAAGTTCCTTGAAATACTCTCTGAGTTTCGGAATAGAAAAATATTTTTTATAGAAGAAGAAAGATGATTATTTGGCAGGTAGTTTACTAAATGATTTTTAAATGCAGGTATGGGTGTTTGCTCTACATAAAAAGTTGGATGGAACTAAAAATTAGTAAAACTTGAGCCTGTTTTTTACAATTCTTCTACAGTTTACTTCGGGGAATAATAGCATATATTCCCGAAAAAAAAATTGTTTCTTTGTACAAATAAAGAGAGAATGCGCTATGTATTTCTCTGCGATGCTTATGTCTGTAAAAATAGTGTCATAATTTGATGTGAGTTGTTGGAAAAATTTCTATGAAACTTGTATCACTTTTACTGACGATTTCTATGCTCTCTTGAAACGCTGAAATGCACAAGCGTGCAGTATCGAAATAGTTGGATGGTATTTGAAATCAAATTTCGATACTGAATTAGATGCTGATTTTGATTTTAGTTGTCAACTCCGATTCTCATTTATTTTTTGTTCCTCGCAATGGCGATAGAAGGGGTTTCATGTACGCTCAAATACGTGTATGTAATTTTCTTCATTAGTAAAAGGAAACAATCATGAAGTGTGTGTATTGTAAATTCATTTGTTTCATGGATATGTATGTTTCCGACAGAACGCTCATTATTTGCTGCTGCTCTACTGTGAAATAGTTGGAGGAAGTGAGGTTATATTTCAAATAGAATCCAGAATTTTCGGATTTAGGGGGAAGGAATGAAATACTGGAGTTGCTGCAGGCTCACATGTTTTTGGTATTTTGAAATCGAACTAATTTGGCTATTTCACGGGGTGGTTTTTTCTTCAATGTTAGCATATTTAAATATATTTTTCTACACTCATGTCAGTGGTCTCAATGTTTTTCCTTGTTTCATTTTTTTCTGATTTAAAAACTTTCAATGTGCATTAGTTACCCTATCCCATTCCATCGTGCAATTACTGTTACAATAACTACCATAACAGCATTACATCACGCTATGACCACCGACTGTTATTCACGATTCTATTTTTTGCAAAACAGCTTTTTTTACTTTTAGAGGAATTGGAGAAACGCAAAAAATGTGACCACGTAACGGTCGTTCGTTACTAATACTTTATCAAAGCACACAATATTTATTTTTCTTTTGTTTCTCTATTGCTTGAAAGGTTAAAAAACAGTATATTTACAAAACACGAATGAACTAAACATAGATTTTGAATGATCGCCGTTATTCGTGGGCACCATTTTTGATCACTTTTACAAAGGATCGTATTGCTAAATATTTTTCTCTTAGCTTTTATTTTTGAGGACAAACAGCGGTTATATGTACTGGCTATCAAAATAGAGCTGGGTTACCTGAAACAGGTTGTGATAGATGTGGGAATATTTTATTTTCTCAATTCATGGAGGCCGTACTGCGATTGTCATCTGAGATCACGCAGTTTAACAATCAACATTGTATTGCTGACATGATGTAATGTGTAAGTGGGAGGGTAAAGGATTCAGCATTGTGGTTCA